TGTGTGTGTGTGTGTGTGTGTGTGTGTGTGTGTGTGTGTGTGTGTGTTTAATATTGGCGTGGATAGTGAGATGTAAGGAAAACAAGAATCACAGTGACTTATATTCAAACCTGTACATGTTTCTTTATCCACGTAATCTGCTGAGGATCTTCATTTTTAAGATTGAGAAATGTTTTAAGGTTCTGAAATCAAATTAAGTAAACAAAACTGTTGATGGTGGTGAAACACCATAGGGAATGTGGTTCAAAGAGAACACAGAGCAAGGAGAAATTACCCTGATCTTAGTGTGTAGCTTATGACTTATTTAATGAATGGATGCCCAGCCAGGCTCAAAGTCAGCGCCTAAAGCTTTGTGGATTATTCTTCCTGTTGTGTCGGGTTTTTTTTTTCCTCTTCTTTTTCTTTTTAAAGCCTTGCTATCCCAGAGGAAAACCAGTGAATTACTCCTAGATCGGCTCTTATAGAGCGGCCATAGTATTCTGTCAAAACACTTGCTTCCATTTTCAAAGATAAAAAGTCATTGATTACAAAATGGTGTCCCGTGTTTATTTCACACCTCAGCTGTCTTTGAGGCAGCCCACAGCCTCTCTGACTCAGTGGAACCCGCCAGGCGACTGTTCCTCTCTGAGGGTGAGTACAGGGGAAGTGGGGCTGGGCCGCTGCGCTCCAGCACAGGGGGAGGTCAGGTGGGGTATAGCGGAGGGAGGGCTACATGCCGGATTCCAGCAGGCCTCCAGTTTTTACCAGGGGTGGGATCTGGGGCAGATCTCCTCATCTTGAGGCATCCCTTTCCCTGCTTTGAAGGAGGGATACGAATCCCATGTCGTTTGGAAGAGGGATACCCGCAGCTGGCCACACAGAGAGCCCTTGCCACCGTGCGTGGCTGACAGTGTGACCGGCTGAGTCCCTGACCGTGCCTTTGAAAGCATTGTTTTCTTCAGTACAAGTACAGCCCTCTTGGCTTAGCTGTGATTTTTATTCCCAGAGGGTTTTCAGGGTCATTTGAACTTCATGGCCTTTTTAGCTTCCCTTTTTACACCAAAATAGCATCTCATGACATTTCAGTGATTGTAGCAAACAATCCCCCACCATCTGGTCTTTCCGAAGGTTTGTAAACATGATGAATAACTGGCACAAAGCTCCCCCTCCTCAAGGACATTCTCCTAAAGTTGCTGTAGTCCGTGAGGAGGACGGCAGCCGGGTTTGTGGTCAGCCCGTACATGGCTGCAGGAAGTAGAGTCGGCAGATGCTGTCTGTGCCCCTCCAGGATGCCCACGGTCAGGGGGCAGGCGCATGTGGGAGGTGCTGACGACCGGCTTTCTCTCACTCTGGCTGCCTGCCTTCTATGCCAGAAAACCTAAAGGTCACCATGTCAGCCCCAGACGGCCAGCCAGGCCCCATTGAGGGAGGACTTCCGTTTTTTTTTAAAGGCTACTTCCCTTGTCGTTCTTGGTGTTCTGTGTCCAGAAAAACTTTTTGTTGGCTCTTAAGAATCTGTTAACTCTAAGTGGCCCTTCTCTTTCTGCTAGCACGTTAGAATGTCCTGAAGCCAGCAGTGGGCTCGAACGTGAGCCATGGCCAAGGACACACCACCTTTTCCTCCTTCAGACAGGCAGTACTGGACAGTGCCCTTTGTTAAAGTCCTTTCCTGCAAGGCTGGGGAGGGGTGTGTGCTTATTGGCACAGCTTTTCCAGAGGGCGGTGTGACAAGATAACATCTGAAGTCTTCAGCGTTCCTACCTTTTGGCCCAGGGTTTTCACCTCTGGGAATTTTGCCCCAAAGAAACTAGTGGGGATCTATTCAGGAATCAGCAGAGGAAAAAGTTTAGCAGGCTTAATTAACCAGCCCAGGACAGCTTGCTTATGACAAGCTCTCTTAAGGATATATATATACGATACAGATTTACTCGGATGCAAGTTTTGTTGTTATGTGGAGGTACCAGCTGTGGTTAATTTTATCTAATTAGATTTTACTGAATTTTATATTTCCCATAAATGTCCTTATTCCCAGAGAGGTTATTAGAATTAATGTATGAATGATGAATTAATGATACATTGAAACAAGCATCCTAAATCAGTGGGGGAAGGAAGTGGTGCAGCGACATTAAGTAGCTCTGGGGGGCAGGGACTCCTTAGAGCCGCCCAGCGGGACCCCAGTGTATGTTCCTGATGGAATTAGTAGTTAAATGGAAAGAAATTTTATTAGAAGAAAAAAAATAAGTCCTTTTCTATCTAGACTTTAGTCTGGGGAAAACTTTTTAAATCACAAAGGGAAAGCTAGATTGGCTCCATAAAAATCAAATTACCTAAGACTTTAAAGTGTCAAAAAATGTGAAGGTCATGGAAGCTGGGAAATAGATTTTCAACCAATGTGATATGAAGCAATATACTTCAATATGCTTAATCTCAGTCCCAGCTGCCTGCTGTATTTGAAGTGGAGGTGATCTCACCTCCCTGGTGGGGTGTGTCCAGCTGTGAGGCCGAGAGGGCTGATGTGCCCCTAGCAGCCTTCCTTCCTGGCCCCCAGGAGTTCAGTCTATCAGCAGGTAGTTTATCACCGAGGTGGAAGGAGATTGCTAGGCGACACTAGTCAGAACGAGCTTTTGTTCCCCGATGGCAAGTTTTTGGAAAAGGTGCGAGGGAGAAATTGCTCCGGTTAGAAGTACTCAAGGGTAAGGTGGCTGCTAAGTTTGTTAGGTTGGCTGAAATGTGGAGAAAGGGGAGTTTGGAGAAGCTGCTAGAATCTGCAGTTCCGTGTAGCTTTACTATATGTACGGAAATGCAGCCAGGTAAGAAAACAGATGTTAAGGGCCCGAGTTAGTGGGCGGTGGGGGGCGTGTTTGGGTGAGGAGCACAGCTCGGGTGACCAGGTGACCGGAAAGCCCTGCCCGTCCCGCTGCCCAGGCAGCCTGGGTTTGGGAGGCAAGTGAATCACTGCAGTATGCTCGACTCAGGAGGGCGGAAAACCAGGTCTTTTCTGTTACCAAAACCATGGGGTGCTTAGTTTTTTGTTTTTTAAGTGGAAAAGCTTTCTCACACTGGTCTCAAAGACATAATGGATATTTTTGGAAAGGATGACAGCGGTGGGTTTGGGCAGCACTGGAGAGATGATTCAGACAAAGGCCTAGCAGGCAGGTGGCAGGGTGTGGGAAAAGCTTTGGGTTGGATGAGACCAGCAGTCATCAGTGTTGCAAAGGGAAAGAGAAAGAGCTCATCTGGTGCCAGGTGCTGTGTGCGCTAGGACTTCAGATACAAATAAAGTACCTTTGCTGCCAACTAGTCCAGGTGATGCAAATAGATACAATGTAAGGAGGTCATGCGGTGCCTGGGGGCCCTGCGGGGCTGTAGGAGCTGAGGGGGTGGGTTGCCAGATGAACTGAGCCTCACCTCCACTGGGTGCCTCTCTGGTCCCGAGCAGCGAGCAGCAGCCCTGCCTTCATTATAGCCATAGAGCTGTCTTCTCATTACTTCTCTTCACCCCCACCCGCACCACATATGTTAGTCATGATTCTGTCATCTTGGCATTCGGCGGGTAAATACTTATTTTTCCGGTGAGGGTTTGAAAGTCCTGGAGAAAATTGTAGTTGAGCAAATGACCAAGTGGTCCAGCTGTGTGCCCTGATCAAGAAATCAACCATCAGTATTTTAGCGACAAAATCCAAGCTTGTGGGCTGCGCTGAGAGGACTGAGAATGGGGAAGTTGCCCCACAAATAACAGGAAGTTGTTGCAGGTTCATTTCTGTGCCAAGATGATACTTGGGCAGTAGAAGGTAGAAAAGGCACCTCACGGTTAACAAACTGCGGGACTGCATATGACCACCCTTAACTAGGTTCCCCGAGACAGTCAAATGAGCGTCCACCATGGCCAGTTTCTGCTAAGGGTTGTGGATGGAAATGCCACAAAAGATGGCAAGGCAGAGAATCCCATATAGCTGTCTGGGCACCTGCCAGAA